GAGTTCCCATATTTTCTTTTTCTTTTTTCCTACCGGGTACGTTTAGATATCCATCTAGTTTTATGGTTGCATAATTCCATAGTATAGCAATTTAAGTACCGCATGCAAAAAGTTCAGTTCTGCCTGCCGATGTCAAAGTGGCTGTCCCTTTACCTGTTTTCAGACTTAATGGGTTTAAACCTGTATTGGTAGGTGAGGGTTCTCAGCATTTTTGTGGAAATCAAGAGTTAAAACAAATTTAATAAACAATGGTTGTGGAGAGGGGAAACAGTTACCTCTGAACAATGCTGTTTCTAAAAGTCAACCTGTAACAGTTCAAGAAAAGATCACTATCCCTGAATAGATGCATGAGCTAAGGCTGACGTTAGAACAGGGTAAAAAAAGGAAAAGATAAACAGAGGCCAAAGATGACTCTTTATTGCTTGATTTTTTTTTTTTTTTTTTAAGTTCAGGGCACAGCCAGCTAATTTTGTAATGTTTATTTTGGGAAAGAATAGCAGCAGGTTAACGTTCCAAACCACTTTCCTAATGATCAGACCAGGATACATCGCCACCTGCTGGTGTACCCTAGCATAATTCTACCCTGAGAACTGAAATTGCGTATTTTTTGCATATTAACTGAAAAGAGCTCCATCCAGCCACATAAAATGACCAAAATGCAAACTTTATCCCCAAACGTATATCTTCCTTAAACATACTAAATCCTTTTGCCAGATTCTAATAATTTACAGGGTATGAAATTAATTGGACCCAATGATTCATCAAATCATGCCTTTTAAAAATGAGTTCTCCTCTTCCTTCGAGAACGCCTCACTACTTGAGCTTCAGAAATAAAACAAACTGGGAAAATTTCCTAATTCACCTTCTCTTCCTTGCATACAAAACCTCTTGGCAGGCTGCTTTCAAGATCTTTCCAAACTTAAACAGACCCAAAGTTCTAGCTGTGAGCAAAGAAGGCATTTGCTGTGGGAAAGCTTCAGAAGATGGTAAGCAAAGGATTTAATTAAGCCAGTGGTTATTCATTACAGAACTATTTTTTTTCAATGATGAAAATCTCTTTACTCTAAGAGTAAAAACATCCCTGAAAGGCTCTTTAGAGCTCTTAGTAGCTCTAGACTCATAAAGGCTATATGTAAAGAATGCCTTCAGGAAAGTCACACCAATCTAGGGAGAACACAGTGCCCACGGTCATTAGTCACTTAACCTAAAAAAAATGACACGTGACACAATCCATGGTGCATGTTTGAGGTTACCCCCTCTCAGAGGGTGGGGGGCAGGGTGGTTATTCTAAACCATATCTTCATCCGTTCTTTCAACATTAATTGAGCACCTACTGTATGTCTATCACTGTTCTTTCTAGGCATTCTAAACACAGTTCTGAGAGAGCTGAGGACCTTGTCTTCATGAAGCCTATTCAACATCATCATTTTCAAGGCAATGCTCGCGGTGCCTACACATCCAACTCTTGGTTTTGGCTCAGGTCATGACCTCAGGGTTGTGGGACTGAGCCCACAGGCTGCCAGGCTCTATGCTCAGCAGGGAATCCACTTGAGATTCTCTCTCTCCCTCTACCCCTGGGAGAGAGAAATATAATAAATAATTCAAGGCAACTACCCAAACAGGTGGCAAAATAAAGAAATTTAGTTCTTCCTTTCTCTGGCAATTTTTTCCCTGTATGTAGATTGTTGCCCCCAAAAGTAAACATTTATTAGGAATGGTTGGTGGTAAGAGCAGATAAGAGGTATTTCACAGGTAAGTATAAATATGGGTCAACATTTCTATAAGCCAGAAGAATTCTTTTCATTTTACTTCTTGGCAAAACCACAATAAAGATGTAAAGGCAGACCTGGGTTGATAAAAAGTTTATTTTTATAAAATTTAGTACAAATCTCATTGAAATATAAATCTTTCTTGAGCAGTGTTAGGAATTATTACATAGTAATCCAAAGGCAAATGAGTAAAATGCTTCATTTTGTTGGACCATATCACATGTTAATTAGCCCTTCATTTACCTGTGACGTAGAAACCCGGCATCTTAACTGCTGACTCACCTTCATGTCCCATTTCTCCCTCAGGGAGTTTCCTTCATAGTTATTAGTTAAAACATCAAGAAAAGCTGAAATGAACGATTTTTCTTCTCTTATTATTTCGGTTGTTCAAATTCCAAAAGACACCTACGTACATTCCCATGAGAGTACCCCTAAAACAGCAAGATCTGCAATCCCTTCACTTCTAAGGAGTAAAAAGAAAAAAAAAAATTGGTACCAGATTAAGCCTATTCATTTGTCTGGTATGGAACAGGTTGCACTGTGCCAAAATTCAAGAGCCAGCTTTTTCTTTTTTTAAGCTCCTGAGCCAAGCCACTCTTTTTTACTAGGCTTTTGCTAAAATCAGCATTCCCTAGCATCCAACTTTGACCACAGTTTTGTTGGAAAGAAGCTCACCAGCCTTCTGGGGATCCTGATCACAGAAGAAAAGAGACGGAGACGCTACTGTCAGATTATTTCCATGTGCAGCAAACCTCGTTAACCGGATGACAGTCCTTTTAAAAGACCCACTGTTAACATGCCTTGGAAGCTGCTTTTGCCAGATCAATGATGACTTGATGCGGTTCCAATGCTCCACCATGTCTGGACACTGACATCCATTTTCAAGACCACTCATTAGGTTAGTACTACCAGGGACCATAGAATGGGTGGAGACTTTCTACTGACCTAGGCTTAGCCTTCAGTGGCCCCACACATTTGCTCAGTAACGGAGCATACCAATCCCCAGTGGTCTAAATAACATAATACATTAATCAAATAAATAAATAAACAATAAATAAATAAATAATACTTAATTTCTTTTTCCATAAAAGTCCGACATTAAAGACACCCCTTAATAAAATGCCACAGTGTTGCTGTGAAATACACAATGGGGTATTTCATTCATTCACAACGGGGTATAAACCGAGACAAAGAGTACACCAGAGACCTGCCCAATCGATCTGGCAAGTGAGTAGCCAAATTAGTTAAAAGAACCCAGAAAGTATGGATTCCTAACCTCTCGTTCTAAGCTTACATTTCTCGCTTTCCCTGGGTGAGATTAGAGACTACTGGACTAAGAAATATTTTGTTCCCTTCCAAGACAGCCCTTGTCATATCTTATCCACAGAGAAGGGCACCTTTTTCAGCGAAAAGGTAGTTAAGGGGTGCCTGGGTGGCTCAGTGGGTTAAGCTTCTGCCTTCGGCTCAGGTGATGATCCTGGGGTCCTGGGATCGAGGTCCTGGGATTGAGCCCCGCATGGGGAAATCTCTGCTCAGCAGGGAGCCTGCTCCCCGGCCCTCTCTCTCTGCCTGCCTTTCTACCTCTCTCTGTCAAATAAATAGATAAATAATCTTAAAAAAAAAAAAAAAAAAGAAAAGGTAGTTTAGAGAGCTAAAGGGAATGTATATGAAATTTAAAACATTAGCCTCATCACCCTGCGGCCAGCACACTTGACTTTGGTTCTGGTCTTCAGTATGTAGAGCAGAGCTGAAACTTGAACTGCCATCTCAAGCACTGTGGAATCCACATGGCAAATCCCTATGGAATTCACTCACAGCCTCTCATGCCTGGGAGATTAATGCACAAAAGCCCTAAGAAGTGGCATGGTTTTCCTGGTAGGGCAGAACCCGTACAACAGGACTTGGTAAATCTGTCCACATCTCATTCATCTCTCATCCAAAGCCCTAGCTCTCTGGTTTTCATGCAGGAAAGAGTTAACAGGGCAGACCTGAACTCCTGTCCTTGGGAAGGCCCACCTGCAAGGCTGGCCCTTGGCTGGCGTCTGGGAACTTCGATTTCGGGAGCACCCCTCCACCAACCGCTGAGAATGGCCCACTGTGCCTAAATTGTTTGTGCAAACTATATGGTGCATGCCGAACACCTACCTTCCTGTGGAAAGTCAGGAATTTTGCTCCATGCCGGGCATGGCCCCCAATAAAACACTTGGGCACTGAGCATCTCATGAGCTTCCTTGTTGGATATTTTACCCATATGGCCGCAAACTGTTGTTAGAAAAATTAAGCACATCCTGGGTGATCCCAAGTTTGGAGAGGGCTCTGGAAGCTTGGGCCTGGTTTCCCTTGGACTCCGCCCTAGGCACCTTTTCCCTTTGCTGCTCTCTTTGTACCCTTTCACTGTAATTAATCACAGCTAGGAGCTTGACTACATTCTGAGTCATGGGAATCCTCCAAGCAAAGCACTAAACCTGGGGGTGTCTTGGGGACCCTCAACAGTTGGTAAGGGGGTCCTCAAGAAGTGACCTACCACCACGGCCAGTTTCACCCCATCCTTTTCTCTGCTCTTTCCCTTTGTGTAAACATATCCAGTTCCCTGATCTGATCCTCAGAATGTCAGACATTTTCTTCCTGAAACTCCCTCCCTTTATAGTAAATGGGGTGACTTCATCTAAAATTGCTACCTGGAGGGGCGCCTGGGTGGCTCAGGCATTAAGCATCTGCCTTTGGCTCAGGTCATGATCCCGGGGTCCTGGGATCAAATCCCACATCCGGCTCCCTGCTCAGTGGGAAGCCTGCTTCTCCCTCTCCCACTCCCCCTGCTTGTGTTCCCTCTCTCGCTGTGTCTCTGTCAAATAAATAAATAAAATATTTTTAAAAAATTGCTACATGGAAAGCAGGAATAAGAGTTTGCTCAAGGAGTCAATTCTCGAAGGAATTCTCAAATTCCCTCCTGAGCTGTCTAGCCATCAGGCATCCCAGAGACAAGAGGACCCAGGGACACCAGGAACTAAAAGGAATGCAGCATTGCTCATCTCACAGTGACATACTCGCAACTACCACCATGTAGTTTCGCTTTTCTACAACCGCGCTATGGTGGAAGTTCGTGTTTTAATACTGGTATGGGCTCCATTCGAAGACTGACCAAACTGACTGATAAGGTTTAGCCCTTTTTTGAAACCTAACTTCACTGGAAGCATGGTTCTGTAACAGCCGTATCTCCGACCTGTATCCCGCAGCCAACTAACTCTGACCCACCATCTGGACAAAGTCATGGCTAGTGCGTTTTGAGATGGCCGTTCTGCTTCAGCTGTCGCTCCTCGCCCCGCCTGGTTCTCCAGGCATGGTATTTCTTGATGCTTTTCCTCCACGCGAAGCGCCAGATGCTGAACATGAAACACCAAGATACAGCGTACATCGCTACTCCCCCAACTTTCACAAACCACCTGGGCTTGGGGGAGACTAGTTCGCAGAAAAGAAGGCGAGCTCCTACACCAATCCTCACTCCGGTAAACAGGGCCACGAAGAGGAAGTCCACCACATCTCCAGTGAAACTGTGGTAGCGGCCTGTTTCTCGGAGAAACCAGCGCATCTGCAACAAGGGGTTGGTGATCTCACTTCCAAAGAGGACCGCGTTGACCTCTGTGCCTGACTCCCCGAGCACCAGGGCCATGATGATGCCCAAGATACTGAGCGTGTGGTGAGCCAGCATCAGGGGCCCCTCGGACTGGAAGTAGATGCACCAGCCCAAGTCGAAGATGAAGTAGCCCAAGGTGAGACACAGAACGTGCACTTGGAGAGGAGTATTGGGTGAGCCTGAAATAAACCGAGACAAAAGCAAACTGAATGGCTGAACCCTGATGCCTTGCACCAGGCAGGGTCCAATGTTTCCCGAGCTTTCCTGAACCAGGCAGGCACATGCATTTGAGTGACAACCACAAAAGACTGAAAACTAAAACTTTGGTCTTTATCAAGCCCAATAATGTCACAGGCCCGGGAAATGCTGTTCTGTTGAATAGGATCTCAATGAGTGATCTGAGCACCAGGCATGATCTCAGTGTCCTCTCTACGGAGCAGCATAAAATTGAGCTGTTTGTCTTTTCAGTTAAAACCCTACGGTTTCTTTCCCTTTTTATTTTTTAAAATTGTATGTATGTATGTATGTATGTATGTAACCAATTTTAAAGGTCTGTTTCTGGACTCTTTTAGTTATTCTGCCCTGCATGCCAGATTAATTTCTTAGCTTAATGGGTTAGATTGTTGGGCACTAGTGGCCCTACCCTTCTTGAAAGTGGACCTTGGAAAGAACCCCAGGAGTTAGTGTATTCCTAGCCCAAGAAAACTGAGTCCAAGGACTCAATGTTCAAATCTCTTTAAAACCTTCATATAAGACATACAGCTTAATAGCAGCTTTCATATCAGTTGGAATAGTTTTGGGAAAACCTCAGAAGCTCAATATAGAAATTTAAGGAAATTTAAAAAAGGAATCTAAGGAATTAAAAAAAAAATCATATCCTAGGGGACTTCTGGCCTGAATTGTACCCCCCAGATTCTTATGTTGAAGCCCTAACGCCCAACCCATCACAATATCACTGTATTTGGAAAGAAGGCCTTTAAAGAGGTAAATTAAAATGAGGTTGTTAGGATGGGCCCTTATCCAATATGGCTGATGTCCTTATAAAAGGAGGAGAGTAGGACACAGACAGATGAAAAGGGGAGACCATGTGAGGACATGGCAAGAAGGAAGCCACCTGCAAGCAAAAGAGAGAAGCCTCAGAAGAAACCAAACCAGCCAACAACTTGATCTTGGACTTCTAGCCTGCAGAATTGTGAAAAAATAAGTTTCTGTTGTTTATGCTTCCCAGTCTGTGGCATTTTGTGACAGCGGCCCCAGAAAACTAATTCAAGGGGATACAACCTTTTTTATTCTAAGGAGGTAATACTTGTACATCTAGCAGTTTAAAAATCAATATAGGTGCTATAAATAATGAGACACCAATTAAATGATAGGATACGCATAACAAATTATTACATCACAGTTAAGGAGGATAAACAAAGGGGTGCCTGAGTGGCTCAATCGGTTAAGCCTCTGATCTCAGGGTCCTGGGATCGAGCCCCACATCAGGCTCTCTGCTCAGCAGGGAGCCTGCTTCCCCTCTCTCTCTCTGCCTGCCTCTCTGCCTACTTGTGATCTCTGTCTGTCAAATAAATAAATCTTTTTTTTTAAAAAAAGAAGACTCCCAATACAAATCATAAAGGTAGTTATTCTTCAATATTCTCCAATATTGTACAAATTCTGTGAAAATGTCCCATCCTTCCAAGACTACCCCCCAAATTATAAACCCCTTAGGGAAAAATCCTCTAATGTCTCCCACCTACCTGGGTGGGTAAAAGGCCAGGGGCCATCAATGAAGCCAATATAAGCCGAGAGGCCTATGGAGAGGATTCCATGGGTGAACGTCACCAGCCGGCAGCTCCACTCAAAGCTTCGGTGCTTATTCAGGCGGCAGAAAGAGATGTAGAGTGAGAGCCAGCCCCCCAGGCTGCACAGCACCTGCGGACACAGAGCTAATGCCATCCTAGGATGAAAAGACCAAAACCAGAAAAAACAAAGGATGCACCCTAAGAAAACAGCACTGGGTCAATTTGCGTATCATCTTCATTCCTACTCTAGGATAGTACAAAAACATTGCCTTCACTGAAATACTTCTTCCTTATCAACACAGCCAAGAATTGTCCATTAAAGCGTGGTTGTGATTCTGATTCCATGTTCCTTAGAGATAACTGATAAAACCCCTAAACCGAAAACCTGGAACTGCATTCTGAGTTGGTAGACTCAGAATGATAATAACGTATCGTATCGTTACGATGAGTAAATGTCAACAATAACCTGCCAGTGATGACTGACCTTGTATGAACATGAGTAATACAATACACATATTAGATAATGTGTTCACGCTTCAAAAATCCCAATAAGACACTCTCGCGAAAAAAACAGTACCACCACCTGTGGTTTCTGTGAGAGGTCATATGACGCATAGCGGTTTCATGTGGTTTGAAGCTGATACTACCTCAGCTGAAGTTTGGATTTGGGTCACAGGTTTACCAATTAAAATCGAAACTTGAGGTAAACCTGAATAGGGAACTAAACGGAGTCTAGGTATTTCAGAAGGGGAAAAAAAAATCCTAGTTCTGTTCAGTTATGAAACCCAACTCAAAGATAGACCAAGGCAGAAGCAGAAGGTGTTTAAGTGGGAAATTTTTGTTGATATAAAAAATATCCTTAAGGCAGTTATTCAGTTAAACACCAAACAAAGTCAGAAAGCTACACTCTGAAATTTTTGCTAATGACAAGTATACCAAGCCAAGAATGACTGTAACTGAGTCAATTTAGCCATCCAGGTCTAAAATCTTAAAGTAACCAAGATGTTGTTATTAATATTCGTTAGCTCCTCTAGTACAAATAAAAAAGTCAAAAACATTTCAGATATCTGTCTCATCTCAGCAGGAATTTTCTGCATGGCTACCCTTATTGCTTAACCCTATTCTGACATGTGAAATAGTATCCCTGGACCAACACACTTCAATACACACACCACTCCCCAGAATGCTATCCAGAGGGCTTTACCAAGGTCAAGTTCTGCACAGCGTTCATCTGAAATCAGGTTTCTATTCAAGAAAACAGCAGGTATCAATCACAGTCCTGAGTTCCAATTCTGTCTGTGCCCCTAAGTACGCATACAAGTGTGGGCAAATCACTTTCACCTCTTGAGCCTCCATTTAATAAATAAATAAATAAATAAATAAATAAAAGAGGAAAACGAAAGAGAGAAGAAAAGAGGATTGAAAATTCCAATCCGGCCCAGTTCTGACAAGGGAGTTCTGAGATAAATTTTGTAAAACATCTAGGCCAATTTTCCAGAGCAAGGGCCAGAAATACAAAGTACCCAGAGTGAAAGGAACCGTTCTCGCTTATTTCCTTGTAAATGCCGGGGTCACCGGCCAGTAATACGGATCAGCTCATTTGGATCTGCTGATTAGTATTTTTAGAGCCCTCTTCCCTGAATCCTAATTCCCTGGCAGAACAGAGGAAACAGTATTCTATTTACAAACATCTAAATAAAAGAATAGACATGTGTAAAGGGCAGATACAAGTCTGTGACCTTGGGAAAGTCACTCCATCTCTGGATTTCCGCTTTTTTTTCTTTCTTTCTTTTTCTTTTCTTTCTTTTTTATTTATTTATTTATTTTTTTTTTTTCCACTTTTGGGTAAAAGAAAGGAAGGGGATTGGGGTGGCCGATCCGGCTCAGAATTCCAAAGCTCCCGTCCTCGCTCCTCGCGTTCCAGGGCCAGATTCGGGAGGAGGAGCGCTGGGCGGGCCCACCTGGCTCGCGGCCGCGGAGCAGGCGTGGCTGGGGCGAGCTGCAACCCGGACGCCCCGCGGGCACCGCGAGCGCCGCTCCCTCCGACTCGCCCACCGCCCGCGGGCCACGGTGCTGTGCCGACCTCCGGCCTTCCGCCCGCCCGAGCCCCCAGTGGCAAGACCTCCCGCGCCCCCGGGCAGGAAGAGCCCCACTCCCACCCCGGCCCCTCCTAGGCGGCCAGGCGGGGCCATCTGCCCGCCTCCTTCCCCGCTAGTGGGCCGGGCGGACCCGGCGGTCCTTGTCCCGAACCCAGCCCAGCGGCCGGAGCGCGGCCGTTTGCGCTGCGTTGTTACCTGGCGGAGCGGGCGCCTCGGCCCCAGAGCTCAGAGCGCGGATCCCCGGAGCAGGAAGCGGCGGAGAGAGGGAGAGAGAACGATGCTCTGACGGTGGCGGAAGAGGAGCCGGGGGTCTGGGGGCACCTTGTGGCTGGGAGGACGGAGCGCAGAACCCGAGCTGGACGGGGAAGGTCCCTAAAGGGAGCCAGAGGGTCCTCCTCCAGCGCTCCGGGCTGGGGTGGGGGGAGATAGCGGGGTGTGACCTAGTGGTCACGTGAGACTCGCAGGCTGCCTCCCTTGTTTGCGTGTTTGTTTGTTTGTTTGTTTGTTTGAATAATTATCCATCCAGTCCCCCGTCCCCGTCCAGTAACTGAGGGCTCGCACCCCTACTGGGCACTGTGGGAGATAGAAGACCGCATCGCTGCCCTCACGCTTGAGTCTCAGTTGGGAAACCAGCACACCAATCACTGATTTGCCAGAAAGGGTTTAGGCCTGGGAATTAGAAATTAGTCCTTTTCCTGACAGCCCTGTCACCAACTTGGCGGTAGAATATAAGACAAAAATAAACCTGGCTTGGTTACTGACTCTGTGTCTTTGGGCGAGTTGCTTAACTTCTCTGTGCCTCGGTTTTCTCAAACCCAAAACCAGGATAGTAGTAATAGCCATCTTAGAAGGCTGTTGTGAGAATTTTACACGCTTTACCAATGTAAACTGCTTAGAACAATGGCGGGCCCAAGGAAGTCATTATATAAATGTTAATTATTGTGGGGGCGCTTGGGTGGCTCAGTGGGTTAAAGCTTCTGCCTTCCACTCGGGTCATGATCCCAGAATCCTGGGATCGAGCCCCACATCGGGCTCTCTGCTCAGCGGGGAGCCGTCTCCCCACCCCCCCCACCCCCGCCTCCTGCCTTTCTGACTACTTGTGATCTCTGTCAAATAAATAAATAAAATCTTTTAAAAAATGTTAATTATTGTGGTTGGTGACACTTGCGGTAATTCCTTTCTCCTCTTTGAGCTCTATTTTAGTACCAAGGAAAGCCAGCTGGAAGAAATGACCGAACAAGTATGGAGGCTCACATGGAGTAAAGAGGGTATCTGGATTCGTTTATTAGGATGGGTGACAATGGGATGCTGAGGGGCCCAGACAGTCTTAAAAAGAGAAGTCGTTAGGTAGGGATGTGAGCATTTACACCATGGCCGGGGAGTAGTTAGTAATCTAGTTTTGACATTTATCTTGCCAATTTCTCATGAGTAAGGATCAAACTGTTTTCATCTTTGTTTTTTCTAATACCTGGTAGGAGGCAGATGTGATGGATGTTCGATGGTTGGATGAATGGGAAATGAGCCTGGAAAAGTGTATTGGAAACTACTGGGGCCTAAACCTTGCTGATCTTCTACACCATTTAGGATGTGTCTCCCAAATGCCCTTGTAGGCTGTATCTTGAAGAGTATAATTTAGCAGGCTTAATGTGGGGGCCAGGAATACATATCTTTTAAAAACACAACCCACAGGTCATTTAGTTACTAGTCACATTTAAGAACCACTGCTGTCAGAGGACCTTAAGTGACTCTAATGCCAGCCTGAGATGCCAGGCTGAGGTATCTTATGATGTGGGTAACAGGAAGCCTCTGATGTTATTGGGCAAGGGGATATAATGTTACCATGTTCTCCAAGCCCTTGTTACTCAGAGTGTGGTCAGTAGTCCAGCAAAATCTGCAGCTCCTGAGAGTTTGTTGGAAACACAGCATCTCAGAATTCCGATGTGTAACCAAAGTTGAGAATCACTGCTATGCACCCAGCTGAAGTCCCTGTAAGGCCAACTGGAGAAGACAATTTGCTTCAGGTGGGTTTGAACAGACCCGATAAGAAGTAATGAGAGCCTGGAGAAAGAGAACAGGGGAGGATTCATTTCACTGAATGGAAAGTATGCAAATATCAACTTTCCCCATTTGCTTATAATTGTTGTAGTATTTTTCTTCTTCTCGTATCTGGATTTGGAACTATTTTCTTGCTGCCACCATTTTCCAGGGAAGAAAGGAGTATTAAAAGGCTTCAGAGGTCTAAAGTCTGGGGGATAAGTGCCAGTTCTTCTGTTGGAGCCTTTATTGAGCCTTTATTTTATCCTCATGCAAGCTTCATTACCTTGGATTAAATTTACTAATCTGTATATGTTTGGCCATAACCCTTGTTCTACCAAATCAGATGTTTCTCAACAGTGGCACCCCCGCCCCCCCCCACAAGAAGTTCTGGGCTATAAGGGAGAGCGGGGAACAGGAAACTCTCCACCAATTTATTGGAATAATAATGACAATAATTGTGATCATAATCACAATAATAACAGTCAACACTTATTGTACCAGGCACTGTTCCAAGCACTTTACATACATGATTAACATTTAATTCTCACAGGTCTATGAGATGGTTACTATGGTTATCCCCATTTTATAGGTGAGAAACGAAGGCACAGAGCAGTCAAGGAACTTGCTCAAGGTGACATGATTAGTAGGAGGCAGAGTGGAGTATGAAGCCAGACAATATGGTTCTGGAAGGCATGCTCTCAACCACCAAGATAGGCTGCCTGCCCTTGACTAGAATCCCCTATAGATGTGTACTGTATTATTAGGTATTCACAGCTCCTAGCCTCGCTGAAGGGCACTAAAAGTCATTCAAAGGTTAAAAAAAAAGAGAGAGAATTTAATTTTCAAAAATCTTAATTCCCTATTATGTACTAGGCACAGTGCTGGGGCTTTTTTTTTTTTTAAGATTTTATTTATTAATTGGCACAAGCAGGCCGAGGGACAGAGGAAGAGGGAGAAGGAGACTCCCCACATTGTTGGGAGCCTGACGCAGGGCTGGATCCCAAGACCCTAAGAACATAACCTGAGTCAAAGGCAGACACTTAACCAACTGAGCCACCCAGGTGCCCCAGCACTAGGCACAGTGTTAATCATGGAGATAAAGAGAAAAAGAACCTCAACCTGAAGGAGCTTCCCACAGTCTAGAAGGTGAAGCAGAGGAATCAGCAAACATAGTACATAAGGATAGCAGGTGCATGCAGAGTGTACAGGGAGGAGGGGCACTGAGCCTGAAACCCAGGGGCTCAGAGCAGGATTCTTAACTTGAGTCCTGGAACTAAGTTCATTCTATGAGTTTCACCAAAAGTCCTTAGTGTTGGGAGCCCACAGCTGGGCCCACCAGTCTTGAGTCAACTAAATATTGAAGTGTGCAAATTTTGAAAAGTAGTGGAGCAATTCTTCTTTTTCTTTTTGCCTGGACAGTGACTAAAAACCCATAGATTCTCTTGTGCCTAATTAGCTGCTGAGGAAGCTAACCAAGCTTTGGTTAAACTTCGCTGGAATTTTATAGAATCATGCATATGTGAAAAGTAAATCCCAGGTTTGACTCTGTTAAACAATTGTCCAAGACAGTGGATAATGGAAGCTACTGGAGGCTGAGCAGTGAGGTTACAATTCTGCATTTCTTTCATAGAAACCATGGCCAAATAGCCCAGAAATCGACCCTCCTACACAGACTCAACTGGTCTTTGACAAAGGAGCTAAGGAAATACAATGGAGAGAAGATGGTGTCTTCCACACATGCTGCTGGAACAACCAAACATCCACATGCAAACCCCCCCCCCAAAAAAACAAAAAACAAAACACATCAAGACACGGACCTTACACCCTTCACAAAGATGAACTCCAAATGGATCATAGACCTGAATGTAAAATGCAAGACTGTAACATTTCAGGAAGAGAACACCTAGATGATCCTGGGTGTGGTGATGCCTTTTTAGAAACAACAACGAAGACACAATTATGACAAAAATAATGGGTAAGCTGGACTTCATTAAAAACATCTGGGGGTGCCTGGGTGGCTCAGTGGGGTTAAAGCCTCTGCCTTCGGCTCAGGTCATGATCCCAGGGTTCTGGGATCGAGCCCCGCATCGGGCTCTCTGCTCAGCGGGGAGCCTGCTTCCTCCTCTCTCTCTGCCTGCCTCTCTCTGCCTACTTGTGATCTCTGTCTGTCAAATAAATAAATAAAATCTTTAAAAAAAATTAAAAACATCTGCTTTGCCAAAGACAAATTCAAGAGAATTAGACGACAAGCCATGGGCTGGAAGAAAATATTTGCAAAAGAAACATCTGATAATGGACTTTTATCCAAAACAGAGTACTCTCAACATTTTCTTAACATAAGAAAATAACCTGATTAAAACATGGGCCAGTGACCTGAAAAGACACCTCACCAAAGAAGACATACGGATGGCAAATAAGCACACAAAAAGATGTCTCATATCATGTCATCAGGAAAATGCAGATGAAAACATCTGGGCTACTACTACACACCTATTAGAATGACCAAGATCCAGAACGCTTGGCGACACCAGCTGCTGGCAAAGATGTGGAGCAACGGGAACTCCATACACTGTTTGGTGGGGGTGCAAAATGGTGCAGCCACATTCTGTTGGAAGACAGTTTGGAAGCTTCTTACAAAACAAAATATACTCTTACCATATGATCCAACAATCACGGTCATCGGTATTTACCCAAAGAAATTAAAAACTTCTGTCCATCAAAACCCCACACAGAGATGTTTAGGGCAGCTTTCGTCATAATTGCCCAAGCTTCCAAGATGTCCTTCAGTAGAAGAATGGATACATAGACTGTGGTGTATCCAGACAATAGAATATTATTTATTCAGTGCTAAAAAGAAATGAGCTATGAAGCCATGAAGACATGGAGAAATTTTCAATGCACATTGCTAAGTGAAAGAAGCCAATCTGGAAAGGTTATGTACTATGATTCCAACTATAGGACATTCTGGAAAATGCAAAGCTATTTGAGACAGTAAAGAGATCTGTGGTTGCAGGCTGTAGGGGAGAGAGAAGTGAACAGGTGGAGCACAGAGGATTAGGACAGTGAAAATACCCTGTGTATTACAAGGATGGGTATAGGTCATTATGTTTTTGTCCAAACCTGCAGCACCTGCAACGCCAGGAGTGAGCTCTAAGATGAACTGTGAGCTTTGAATGATCACTGTATGTCAATATAGATTCTTCCTTGGTTTAAAAAAAAAAAGTACTTTCTAGTGAGTAATGTCGATGATGGGGGAGACTATGTACATGAAGGGGCAGGGATGTATGGGAAATCTCCGTACCTTCCTCTCAATTTTGGTGTAGATCTAAAACTGCTCTAAAAAAATAAAATTTTTTTAAAGATGAAATGAATGAAAATCGGCATGTGGTTCATGCCCATCCAGCGATGAAAAAGAAAGAAAGGAAGGAAGGAAGGAAGGAAGGAAGGAAGGAAGGAAGGAAGGACGAACCAGCATTATGGACAACATAACTACCCATGGGCTCCTGGGTCACAGAGCTGTCCCTTTATAGATTTAAATGAGTCCCAAAGGCTCCTCTTGTCTCTTTGCCGCATACCTAGTCCCTTCCAACTGGATCTTTTCTCGAGACAGCAACCACTACAAATAGGCTTTCTTCTTCAGCTTCGTGACATGAAATATTTGTCTGAATATAAGGCCCAAACACTGGAAACAGTTAAGTCTTAATTATTTACATAGAGATTTTGCACTTAGATATTGTTCACAACAAATGTTTCATCCCAATTTCAGTGTTTCCCCATGAGCCATGACATTTTTGAAGGGCCTCCCTTTCCCACAGGTCAGTGTTTCCTTCAGGAATGGTAGCTATTTAAATTTTTATTAGCCTAAGAAAAACCACCGGGAGAGCTTCCCTGTCCCTCAGCCCCTCAGCAAAAGTCACAGTGCATTCAAAAGCCAAATATATTTTGATTATTGGATTATGCTTTCCTTTACATACCTGTTGCTTCCCATTGTGAATATTTAATAATTGACCTTGAGGATATCTGCAATATGAGCTTTTCAGCCTCTGCCTCCAGCTCTAAAGTCTGAATGACTTGGCCTTAAACATTTAACATCTTCCCACTTAAAAATCTTCTCCCTTTCAACCAGTTTCCTGCTACTCTGCCCTCAAGATAATTCTGTCAAAAAGAGTAAGAACTCTGAACTCTTTGAAGCCCTGTATTAATGTATGTATGTCATCTTTAGCATATCAGTCCAGGGAGTAACAGACTTAATATACCAACCTGAAACATTTTACCCCCTTCCCATTTTTTTTTAAGTAATCTCTGCACCCAAGTGTGGGGCTCGAACTGGCAACCCTGAGATCAAGAGTTGCATGCTCTATTGACTGAGCCAGCCAGGTGCTCCCCACATCCCATTTCACTATATGCACTCCTATCCCTCCCCTCAACAAAAGACACAGAACAATGATCTAAACCTTTTCTTATCAATAGTGGAATCATTTATATCATAACTATACAAATTTATTTAGGAACAGAGAGATTCCTTAGAATCTCAACATTTTCTTGGATATACAGTCTTTTTTCTTTTCTTTTCTTTATTTTTTCCTAAAAAAAATGTTACCATTGCTGGAATGGCTTCATGTTGCTTCTCTACACACTGGCCCACAAAGAAGGGGACTAGAGATCATGTTCCCGAGAAGTCAACAAACATTCCCAGCTCATGTGGGAACTCTTCTTGTGGAAGCTAGCACAGTATTTCACACTTTGGCATTTTTTTTCCCTTTCCTTCTCTTTCTTTAAAAAGGAGATAAAATATTACAGAGATATCTTCAAAATTCACACCTGAGTTAAACATTTTGCTGGAAAATTCCACATGAAGGAGGGAAGGTAGCTGCAAACACAGGAAGGGGCTATATACAGGGAATCTGCCAACATAATTGTTACATGTTTGCTTTTGTGTTCCTCCTCCTGCAGCCGGGGGAAGGGAGAGAGGGCCAGATAAGGACAAGGAAGGAGAGAAGGAGTAACACTCCTGAACTCTGGAGCAAGTGTAGCACACAGAAGAGCACCTGTGGGCAGAGAAATACGCCCAGGGGACTGAGGGTGGCTCGGCCTTCTGTTAAAAGGAGGGAACCTGGAGAAGGCCATCATGAGTGGATTCGGTTCTAGAAAAGGGGTCAGGGCTACAAAAAACCTGGAGTGAAATGAAGATTCAGTCGGAAAGGTTTGCTCAACAGAAAGCATCCAGGATTTGGTGGAGACATCAGATTCCAATCTTTTCACAGAATTTAGAGATCAGTTCAGCGATTGTGGCCAAGTTCGGAGTCAAGCCATAATCTCTTCCTCTGGTTGTTTGGTACACCAGTCAAACCGCTGTCCCCAGAAGCCCATGGATGAGTTGGAAAATAATGACAAGGTGTCCTTGCTCGGAAAGACGACTGCCACAGGGAAGCCATGGGAAATATTTAGAGCTAGAGGGTTGGAGCACGGGGAAAGAAGGTGAAAACGGGGAACACCTCGGGGAGAGGGGTAATGTGTTTCAAGAGCACTGGGAGCCAGCGCATGGTTTAGTCACAGTTTGGATCTCTGGAGGCCCTCACACCTGAAGAACCAAGAGCTTGGGATGGCAGTGGGGATTCTCTTCCACTCTTCTGACAGTAATCTGTCCATTCAGAGAGGGCATGATTCCCTTCCTTCTGGGGGTGCATACAGGGCCAGGCGGATTCCGAGAAACTTTTTGGTCTCAGTGGAGGTAGGTGGGATGATTCCATCGGTACCAAGATCTGGAAGGAAGGAAAAGCAAGTCAACCGTAAAGCTGCTAATGGTTTGAGGGAAGAGGCAAATGGGCAGTGAACTCCTAACAGGGGTATGGGGTTCCTTTCTGGGGGTCATGAAAACATTCTGGAATTGGATTATGATGATGGTTATGTAAAATTGTGAAGACACTAAAATCCAGGCGTCGCACGTTTTAGATGGTAATTTTTATGGTGTGTGAATTCTATCTCAAAACATTTTTAAGAAACATACATTATATAGGCTTTTCCTTCTTTTTTGGTGGGAGTGGTTGAGGAGTCCCAGTATTTTGCGCTGTGTACCTGTGGGCCGGTAAGAGCTGGCTGCCTTTGCTGAATGGCCTGGTTTTGGTCAAGTGGATTAATCTCTTCCCACAAGGTAACCGTCTAACTTTCAAATCTCTGCTTTGTTGTGAGTCAGGGAAGACTCCCTCAAGGCACCTGCTCTGGGAATAGCTTTTAGAGCAGACTCTTGGGCCCCTGAGGCTGCTGCCCTCACTGCTTCACAGGCAGGAGCTCGAGACCAGGAGCAGCAAAACTTCCTCTCTCCTTCTGTCAGCCACACGGGCAGCTCCGGCTCACAGGCTCACGTCAGAACACCCCGAGAACAGGGTTCCTGGCAGGAAGTGGAGCGCTCCCAAGCCCACTGAAGGACCTGGTCCTTTCTAATAGGAGTGTTCGGAAATTTCCACCCTCCCAGTGAGGATGGAAATTTTGGCTTTGTTGACATCAGCTCCTTGCCAGGACTGCTCACTGGCCGAAGCTTCTCTTTAAAGCCCACTCCCTAGGGATATGGTCCAGCCTGGTTCTCCATAGAGCCCCCCACCCCCACCCGTCTCCCCACTCCCCTTTCCAGTCCTGTGACTAAGCTTTCTTTTCAGAGGTATGGACCCAACATCTCACATGTCCCTTGACCCTGCTAGAATGTCACAGTACTCTCTCCACCACCTTACCCCGAAGAGTTAAAACTGGAGGAGCTCACTGCCGCTTTGGAGTTATTTTGAGATGCAGTGGGGCTGTTGGCATGGAGTCCCGAGCCAGGAGACGAAGGCCTGCTGTTGTTCCCAGGGGAACAGGATGACGTTACTGAGGATGAACAGAGGCAAAAACAAGGGGAAAATAATGCTGCTGGGTCCTGGGACCTCCTGACATGGCCCTCAGACATGTCTCCCCAGAGAACTCCCACTCCTCCCTGTGTCCCACCCATCTGCCCACTCCGGGGACATTAGCTTCAACACCCGGCCCCAGAGGGCTGTCATCATAAATGTTCTTCCCAGCACAGGCCCTGGAGAACGGTGTGGCTGGTTCTGCAGGTCCAAGACTTGCCAAATGCAGAAGGACAGATGCCAAAATCATCCTACTCCAGGACACACCCTGGGCTGGGCATATGTAGCCCCAGACCAAGAGATGGGAGGAGCCAAGAACAAGGGCTCTCGGAAAGGAGGGGAGGAGGGAGAGAGAGAACACTGAAGAGAGGAGGGAAAGAGAATCTGAGAACATGGCCTTTCCGGTGTGCCCATTTCCACAAAAAAGATGCACAGTCTTCTAGAAAGAGCACAGCCAGGAGAGAGGAGACCCAAGTCTTGGCTCCTGGCCATTCACTAACCCTGGACCGTGGCGCCTTGTTTCACTTTCCCAAAACGCATTTTTGTCTTCTAGAAATGGCAGATTTGGATTCTCGTTTTTGGATTTCCCAAACAGTGTTCTGTGAGTAAGGTGACGGATAGCTTACTATCCAAGCAAGCCAAGAGACTTTGAGGAGTGGGACCTGGGCTCTCGATCATTAGGTCAGGACAAGAGGCAGACACTGGGACTGTCCTGGGCACATCCAGACAGATGGTCAGCTTCCTCATTCTTTGAAAGGCTCTACGTACTTTTTGAAAAGTAGAGTTCTATAGAAACTGGCTCGGAAGACCTTGCCTTCCATACAGCTTCTTCAGGGCTGTGAAGTGCACTCTGGTGTGGAGAAGTGTGGCAAATGACAGAAAGCAGACGCTTTCAACTTGGCTTCTTCAGCATTTCCCAAACTTACTCGATGGTGGAACCCTTCTTTCCTAGCACAGATTTTCATAGCCTTCGAAAGACATTTAAGGAATGCTGACCTAAGCAGTTATAGTTCACCTTGACTGTCCCCCTGTTGAAAGGGCTTCTGGAGCTATTCAGAAACCCCACGGCAAAGCTCACCTGTTCCAGGCATGGTGCTGTGGACGGGAGGGACAGAGAGGGGACCCAGAGATCCAGAGGGAGAGACCTGAAAGGCAACAGAAGCTTGTAAATGTCTGTATCTGCTCCCTTCTCCGAACTTGAGTGCTTCTCCCAGGGTGCTGGGCCCCCAGAGTGCAGACAGCAGGGCTCAGCTTTCTTGATGACTGCTTTGTTCCAAACCTACGCTCCATCCCGCTTCCACAAGAAGGCTTCTGGACCACGTGCAGCATCAGCTCCAGCTCCGGCCTGCTCTGGCAGGGACCTGCTGCTGACACCAGGCCCTGTCCTCCCTGCTGTGGCCCCTGGCAAGGCTCTTCAACATGGCCGGGCAAGGCTGCGGTGCTGAGTGCTGGGTGACAAGAGGCGCCACCTCTGGACTCCTGCTGGGGCAGACACTATCGGTTGGCTAGATGTTCGCCAGTCCCCAGTCCTTTTTTTTTTTTTTAAATAAAAGATCCCTTTGCTCAGGGCAGCAGAGCCCAACTCGGACAACCCTGTTCCAGGCTTCTCAGTCTGATACAGGAAAGGACCCTCCACTCCCCAGAAAAAAACTGGAGGGGGAGGCTGAACTTTGGATGCTGAAACTGTTCATTTGGCCCTGGAAACCTCACAGCATCATCAACTCTGAGATTGGGAAGGGACTTAAGAGGATTCAGTTTAAACCCTTTAGATTACTACCTTAGAACAACCTAGAACAAGATGTAATAGAAAGAACGGACTTGGGGACCCAACAGATCGAGGGGTGAGACCCTGATTTCACCATAATGCTCCATGTGACTTTGGGCAAGTGACCTAACCCCACTGAGATCTGGTTTTCTCATCCACGAAACAGAGGTAATACCTCCCTTATATTTCCTTTTAATTAAGATTTAATAAGATACCGTCCATAAAGCTTCCAATTCAACGCCTGGCAAAGAGTGCCAGGTTTGTTAAATGCTCGTTCCCTTCCTCCCTGAAGGAAGCCGTCCACCGTCTCTGGACACTGTCCTCTTCTTCATTTGAGCTGGAGTCGGCGTACCTCGCCTCCCCTTCATTCTTCTCACGTCGATAGGAGAAGGTCCGATCGATGTTTTCAAAGGACGCTGGAAAGAAGTTCTGCTTGGGGGAGCTGGGATTCCTCCCCTCCCTGGTTTGGATCATCCCTTCCCAACAGGATGAAGCATGTACTCATTTCCCAACTAATCAGCTACAGTTCTCCTGTCTTCACTTACCTGCCCGTTTACAAGAAGCCTCCTCAGTAGGCAGGGGGCCCACAAAGGGTGGGGACAGGTGTGAGGCCCCATGGTAAGAGATGTTATCAATCATCTCTCTCCCTCTCCTCCTCCTCCTCCCCTCCCTACTGGCACACCCGTGACATTTGTTGTTGTTTTAAAATAAATAATGCATTTAGTCACTGTGACCAGCTTCTTCTGTTTCCTTCTGGAGGCAGGCTACACATATGTAAGCAGATATATATATCTTGGTAAAAATGGCTCCCCCTTTTTAATTGTTTATATAAATGGTAGCATTCTGCCCACAGTGGTTGGTACCATTTAACTCTCTCTCTCTTTTTTTTTTTTTTTTTTTTTTTTTGGCTTAACTGTATATCCTGGAGATCATTTCATATCAGAGCAGAAGAAACTATGTCCTAGTCCCAAGGAGGCTGTCCCCAGGAGACCTGAGGAGAAGCAGAGTCAGAACACTTTGTCTCTCTGCTTCCTTCATAACATCACGAGCATGAACAGTCATTACTTATTTAACATCTTTCTCCGGAACTAGGCTGCTGGCTTCCCAGGGGCAGCATGATGCCTGTGGCTTTCTACTACCATGTCCGCTACCGTGCCTAGAACTTTGCAGGTGCTCAATCAATACGTGTTGCTTGAACGATGAGAAGGAATCAGGCCCCTGCCCAGCTCCTCTATGCTTCCCACTGCTTTTCTCCACGTGGGTGTCCTGGGTTGGGGTTGAACCAAAATGCGAACCTACCTCCCCTAGCCCCGTGTTTAAAGATTTCAATGCTCCTCCGCCATGGTTCCATTTCCTTAATGCGCATGACATAACCTCACCCCCACCCCGCCCAGCACTCCAGCCTCCTCATTCCCCCTCCCTGGGTTCTAGCCCATTCCAGCCTGCTACTCTGCTTTCCACCCTGCCCAGCCTCAGGGCCTTCGCAGACACTCTTTCCTCTGCCTGGAATGTTCTCCCTGCACTCTCTCCTCCCTGTGCACCCCCAACCCCATGACTGTCTACTTATGCTTCTGCCATTATTTTGAGCGTCATTCCTTGGCAAAGCCCCTGACACCCTGGCCTACATTAGATCCTCTAAATCCTGCATCTCCTCTGGAGATTTCATCCCAGAGAGCCTTTGTTCAACGTCTGCTTTCCCTGCCAGACTGCCAGCAGAGAGATCCCAGGCATCCTGTGTACCACCGTGTCCCGGTGCCAAACATTTGGTGGGTATGCAATAAATATTTAAGAAAGGAACCATGAATGAATATCACGTTGCCTCCAACTTCAAATTTTCAGTGGTTCCCTAGAGCTTGCAGGGTAATTTAGTATCTGTGGCCCATTGTGAGCCAGCCCTCATCAACCCCTCTCAGTCCCTAAGCCTTCGCTTCAGCCAGATGGAAGTGCTTGTGATTCTCCGAATGCAGCATGTTGTTTTGTAATTCCGTGCCTTCTCACAGATGGTTCCTCCAGCCTGGGGTGCTGTTCTCACTAACTTTTAATTTGTTCTGCAAACAGATTAGGGGGTGAGCCCTCCCAGACCCCATTCTGATTAGAATGGTTTTGATCCGTGTTCTTCTGAGCTCCCAGAGCCCTCCTAGAGGGGTTCACTGCCTCTTCACATCTTCACCGCCATGTCTTGCCTCTTCTGGAGACTCCTTCTTAGTGTCTTCCCTTGATCCTCCTCCTGTACCCGTCCCTCAGATGCTGGTGATCTCTAAGGTTAAGATCTAGAATTTTCTCTTGGCTCCTCTGTGCAAACTCCATAACTGAGCTCCTCCTCGCCCAAGATTTCAACCACCACCTTATGCTTATGACTCCCCGATCCATGTCTCCATCTTGACCTTCTCTCCTGACCTTCAGACCCGTAATTCCAGGTACCCAAGGACATTCCCACTTGGGTGTCCCACAGGCTTCACTGTACCTTATAAGGATATAAAGAACAGGAATCATCACTTCCTCCTACTCCCAAATCAGCTTGTCCCCTTGTGTTTGCTTGTCACATCAATGGCATAACTCCTGCCACATCAGCCCAACCTGAATGCCAAGAGTCAGCTGAGAGTACTCCCTTTCCTTCATCATTCTCCCTGCCCCTCACCCAATCTCCCATTCATTACCCAAGACCTAATAAGCCTACCTTCTAATTATCTCTTGAGTCTCTCCCAGCCCCTCATTCTTACCCGCTAGCTTTGTTTCGGCCCTCAATACATCTCTCCTGGATAATCGCAGACATATCCTTGCTGATTTCCCTACAACCAGTCTTGTGTCTCTCAAACCACCTTTTACGCTGCAGGCACATCTGATGGTGCCAATGGTCTGCTCAAAATCCTTCAGACTCCTCTAAGGCTTCACAGTCCTTAGCATTGCTCATAGTCACCTCAGTCTGGCCTTGCTTGTCTGTCCAGCCTCATCTTTCAACATCCCTCACAGGACAGGTGGTTACCTACAGTTCCGGGGACGTGTCATATATTCATTCTCTCTGCTCCATCCTACGGTTCCCATACTTTCCCACATGAGAACTCCACCCCACCCTTATTTGCCTCTTCACTCCTTGTCCTTTTAGACTCAGCTCAGGTATTAATTATCTCCTTGGGGAAGCCTTCTCTAACCACCACCTTGCAAGGCTTTGTTCCCTGCAACTCCTAAGTTCTCCTCGAGAAATTATCATGTGGTTTATCATTTGTTTATTTGTCTGTCTCCTCTGCTAGGTGGCGAGATCCTCCGGGCCAGGGGACAGATTTGTGTACCCTCAGCACTCTACATGAAGATCAATATATAGTAGATGGTCAAGGAATGTTTGGTGAAAGAATGAACAATGGTGTCATTTGTATGAGACACCCAGACAAGGCTGAATTTCTCCCATCTTTGAGTGCTGGAATGGCATTGTCCTCAATTCCCTTAACCTTACAACCCTATCATCCCCAAGGATGAAGAAGAACCTTCCCACCTCTACCCTCCAGGCACCACCTCTCCCTGGATGGAGAAGATATTTCCTACTTCCAGGTCTCCCTAAATTGCAGATTATTCCCAGCCCTAACCTCTCTCCGACCTCCAGAATCATTGATACTACTGTCTACTAGGCATTTCATTTCTCTTGGATGCTTAGATGAGTGCCAGCTTAAGCTGACCAGTTCCAAATTTTTAGTCTTTTCCCTTATACTTGTACTTCTGACATTCTTTATCACCTTAAAAAAAAAAAAAATGGCAACACCTCGACCAGTTGCTCAGGCCAAAACCCTTGAAGCCACTTTGGGCTCATCTCTTGTGCTCCATATCTGAGCTGTCAGCGCATCTTGCTGGCTCCATGGCTGAAGTGTATTCGGAATCCAACCACTTCTCATCTCCACTGTGGCAACCGTCTTAGCCTAAGCTACCTCTGTGCATAGCCTGGTTATTGTGTTTCCTCACCTGCGTCCTGCTTCTAGATTATTCTCCACATGGCAGCCCACCTCAGCCAGCTCAAACTTCTACACTCCCAGCTCTCCAGTGGCTTACTTCATCCAAACTCAAAGCCAAGGTCCTTTCAGTGACCTCCATGAGCTTTGGGTGGTCTGCTCTGTGTTACTCCTCTGACTTTCCCTCCCGTTCTCTCCTCCTTCCTCACCCTGCCCCAGCCACACTGGCTTCCTTCTCTTCCTCAAACATGTCAGGTCTTTTTACTTGCTCGTCCCTCTGCCTGGAACATCCTTTGTTCTAGATAGTTCTTTCCTTTTCAACACTTTGGGCTCCACTCAAATGTCACCTGACAGGGAGGTCCTCTCTGACCTCTGTGTTAAAAAGACATCTCTCCACAGTTACTTTCAATCCCCTTACCCTTCTTTATTCTCCTTTATATGCTGTAGATTTTATAGGCGGCATCTTTCTGCTTATTTATTTATTTATGGCATGCCGCTTGCATCTCCTGACTGTCATCTTCCCCAGGATGGTGTCCTTCAGGCACCATTCCTGTCCCTTCCCCTCGTGCCTGGTGGACGCTTGGTTCCCGGCACTCACCAGGCGGGAGTTGTAGATGGGTGATTTGATGGGTGTGGTCACAGGGCAGTTGATCCTCTTCTCCTTCTGACGTCGGTTGCAGAACCAGACTCTGACCACCTCCTTCTCCATGGACAGCTGCTCTGCAATCATGGAGATCTCCTCTGAGCTGGGTTTGGGGTTCTACAGACACCAAAGGGATAGAATGTGGTCAGGAGGAAAAGGGAAGAGGGTCAAGAATCGGGGATGGGGGCTGGATGTTCCAAGGAAACAAGATAGAATAAGAGATGGACCGAATAACATCAGACCTAGGATGGAATACTGGCTTTATCAGTTACTGTGTATCCTTAGAAAACTGCCTTAACCTCTCTGAGCCTCAGTCTTACACCTATGAAGTGAGAATAATATCTACTGGAGAGGATCACTGTGAGGATAAAATGAGAAAGGGTGTGTCAACTGTCCAGCGTGGGGCCTGCCACAGAACAGAGGAGCCATCAATGTTCTCCCCTTCTGTCATTTCTCCCTTCAGAAGTTTTGAAAAGAGGAGTCTGCTGCTGAGTTGTGCAGGGCAGGCAGAATCCCGAAACCCATGTTCCCCTCATGCCCTGATATCCCTTTCTTGTGTTACAACTTCCTGTCCTACCTCAAGATAGGAAAAAATAAAGACAAAGCATGTGGATCCATCGAGACTGTGGGGATAATATATATATAAAATATCTATTATATTATACATTAAATATCATCTATTAATATAATAATGTGTATATCATATATCATAAATCAATATAATAATGTTTATATTATATATATTAAACACTCTCTTATTCCAACCTCTCCTTCCACCCAATCTTTGATCTCAGCCCCTTTCTCTCCTTCCTCTAGCCCCCTCCCTTGCTCAAGAAACCTAATCAGCAGGAAAAGCCTGCTCTTGTCATCCTGCCAGCAGGAAGCGGCCATCGAATCCTTGAGCCAGATGTCCTGGCGGATCTGCTGGAGTGGGCAGCAGTCTTGGAGGCCCTGGGCACACGACGTTAAATGAGGCCAATGGCACATCCACTAGGGCCCTGTGTGGTGTGAACCGAGGCTCTGGAAGCTGGTACCTGAGGGATCTCAACTAGAAGCTGTTTCGACGCACCTGTTTCCTCCTCTTCCCTTCCCCAGCTCCCACGGGGCACACAGCTGGTGTTATCAGCTGCCACATACTGGCTCAGGAATATGCTTCTGCTACACGTTCAATCAAACGTACGTATAACATGATCACAAGCATTTACACACACGTGGAGGAGACAAAGAGAAGGAAAGACATGTAGATGCCATTTAATGGCAGGTTTTTTTCTTTCGACTTCCCTGGGTTTTCCTAATTGTTCACAATGAGCATTTACTACATATATAATTTTAAAAATATATAAATCAATGCATAGAAAGTAAAGAATTCCAGATGGTAACTATACTTATCACGATGAGCACTTTGTAAGGTATAAAACTGTGGAATCCCTGTCGCACACCTGAAACATAATATAGTACATCAACTATACGTCAACTATACTTAAAGGAAAAAGAAAAAATTTATATACAGTGGTCTGGCTTTGCCACAGCTGGATCCAGAGATCCACCCTCTTCTGGGACCCCAGATGTCATCCCTTAAGGCTCACAGTGAGAGGGACATTAGGTCCCCAAAAAATGTCAGGGCAAGAGGGGTCTGTGGGGAAAGAAGTTGCTGGCAGTCCCCTTCATGGGCATACATAGGGGGCAGCAGAGGGTGTGTGTGCTTGCTTTCCGACACTTTCCCAGGGCAGGTGTGTGCCCAGGGGCCTGAGTGTGTCCCCTCATCCAACCGTGTACATCAGCCCACCCGCTCCCGCCCGGAGGAGCCGCTCACATCTTGAAATCTCTTCTCCAGCGTCAGGCGGATGTTGGTCTCGATGCTGGTTCGTTTCTTCCTCTTCCTACCAAACACCTCACTGAGGCTGGGGAAAGAGCTGGGGGTGTTCATCGAGGGCTCTGATGGAGAGGTTTCTGTCGGGAGGCGGAAAGGCAAAGGAAGCTCAGAGAAGGGAACACATTGGCCAGGCCAGGCTCTGTGTTCACGGCCTTGAGGTCCCACCTGGCTTCCCGGTGAGCTGCGCGCAGCGGCGCAGTGGCTCTTTCAGGACCAGCCCCTCCCCCAGCAGGGGAACCGGGACAGGCCAAGCGTCCTGCTTCTGCTCATAGCTCTGAGCGAAGGTCCTCCGCGACTCCCACGCCAGCGCCTCCCGTGTTTGCGGTCATGGTTCAGGGACACTTGGCCATCAGTGGCATGGGTGGGTGTGAGTGAGTGCGTGCAGGCAGAGATCCTACAAGGAACACTCATGAGTCTGTCTTTTTCCCAGGGATGCCTGGATGTGAATACTGAGTAAAATGGGAAATGGTGTTTGCAGCTAAAAGCAGTGGCACTTGGTGGCAGAATGTGGCGTGGAAGTCACTTTCTTTTCAGTGTTTAAGTGTTGGAGCCGAGGGAGGACCAATGGGCCGGGATACCCCTCACGAAGGACTCAGGCATCAGGGAGGGGGTCACACTAGAAATGAACGATAAGGTCCCTTCCCAGTGATCCTCAGCACGTCTGGTCATCTCTCTCACTTTGGTGCCCCGAGGAGAGCTGCCTAAGGGACAACCTGTCTGGGGCAGCTTCCTTGCTCCTCCCCCATTCCACATGGAGGGACTTCTGAGGGGGTAACCCCTTTGGCTGCTTATTCCCCCCGCCTTTCCTCTCCACAGTATCCACTCATCCACGCGTATCTACTGACCAGAGCCCGGCCTGGCACAGGCTCTCTCTACCTTCTCTCTCGACCTACACCACTGGTTCTCAACTGGGGCGATTTTGTACCCCCCAAACCCCCAGCAGATATTTGGCAGTATTGGGAGACATTTGTGCACGTCTTAGTGGGAGGCAGGTGCTGCTGGCATCTGGGGATAAAGACCAAAGATAACTGCTAAATACCATGGAGTCCAGAGGACAGCTTCCTACAACAAAGAATGCCCTGGCCCATGAAATCCATAGTGCCATGCGGAAGCCCTGTTCCACACTGCCCCACCACACCAAACTCATCTGTCCAGTGTTCCACGTACTTTGCCCTTGACCCCAGGAATGCCTCCCAGGCCACCCTATGGACTGAATCCAGCCAACCTCACTCCTGCTGGAAGCTTTCCCTACTTGTCTAGCTCACCGTAACTCCCTGCTTTCTGAAGTCCTACTCAAGACGACCCAAAGGGCTTATGTTGTGTTTATGGCCTCCCCTTCTCCCCCACGAGAGCCTGGAGGACCCACGCTTCTATATTCCTAACCAAGACATGGTCCAGAGAGCAAGGTGGGTAACTGTTCACTCTGGAGAGCTGCCCTAAAGTCTAGACTGGGTGGGTCTCTCATGGAGAAAGGAATGGGGCCAAGTTTTCATGACCTAACGCCATGTCCTCCAAAGGAGATGTCAGCTGACATTTCCATCTCTACTTGCCTGTCTCCCATGTCTTATTTCTCAAATGGTTCCAGACTCAGGAGGAGAAGGAGTCTTACACAGTGACTGCCTCAAGCCCCGACACAGACAGGTCCCTGGCCCCCTCCCAGCAGAACCATCTAGGGTACCAGCTGCCCTTGTGTCCCTGCCACCTACCTGCGTCATGCAACCACTTCTCCAGCAGCGGCTTGAGCTTGCACATGTTCTTAAAACTCAGATTGAGGGCTTCAAATCGCGAGATGGTGGTCTGACTGAAGTCATTGCCGTACAGCTTTCCCATCGCCAACCCCACATCTCCCTGCACGCGGGGATCGAGAGGGAGGAGCTGGAGACACAGGCTTCTTCTCTTCTTTGTCCCACCATCCTAGCACCAACCACGCACGCAGAGAACCTTCAAGCACCCGCCCATCACCTCCTGGCTCCTTTCCAGGTGTTTTCCCTCTCAGAGGGAGAATTTGGTTCATTTCCTGCCCCAGACTCCGAGTGGGTCATGGCCATGTGCCTAACACCTTGCCTGGCTCTCATTCCTCCCCTGTCCCCCAGCAGTGTCCTCAGTTTCCTTACCCTTGACAACTGTGCCCTATTCCCTGGAACTCAGGGACACGATGGGCTTGCCCCAAATACACCAAACCTCAGGTTGTTCCTGAAACGTACACCCAGGAAGCCCCGTCTCCACTCACTCAACCCAGTTCCTTCTGGCTCCCTGCAAACCAGACCTGAGTGAAGCCCAGCTTAATACGCCTCTGCTTGAAGGTCTTGGCAAACTTCTCCAGCTCTTCCAGATCACTGGGCTCATCAGCCCCTCCAGAGCTGGGTAGATGCTTGGGCACTGGGAGATGTGGGGACGCTTCCAGATGAGGTTCTAAAGAAGATCCTGGCAACCCTGGGCGCCCAATTGCCTAAGAGGGAACACATATGGAACAGATCCACAAATAGTCAACTGATCAAATGGCGTTTTCTGGTATACTAACTGGGTCTGTACTAACAGACCCACTTAGAGGATAACAGACCCCTGGGTACACTTGGTACCTATTTTGTCAGTGGTGTGGAAGGGGAACTGAGGATTTCTATGAAGGGACAGCAAATAGCTAGAATAGCTGGGTAGAAACAGTAGGAGTGCAAGACAGGGAGGTGGCCTTTCTGGGTTTTAGGCTATGACTCATTGTTTGACTCTGAGCAGGTACTTCCTTCTTTCAGTTTTCCACCATAAAAGGAGCTAGCAGGTTTGTTTACAAAGATTCAAAAAACAAATCTCAGAATGGGACAGGGGGAGAACGGTTGTTTGCCTTGCCTGTTCTTTTCCAAAAAGGGAAGTAACAGGCATTCAATAGGTATTGACTGAAGATAACAGAGGACATCTGAGACTTGTTATATTAATAGAATTTCCATAGAATTTTTAAACTCCTATGACTGCCATTATACTTTCTAACCCATCCTTTTCCTTCATGAGAGTGTTTTGTTGTAGTTGTTTGTTTTTAAATCAGAGGTATTCCAGTGGCATCTTAATATACCTGGATCTCATTTATGGTTGTCAGGAGACAGTCTTCCTTCTGTTTATTTTCATAGAGAAATGGACCCTAAAACCTAGAGTCCATGTTTTGCCCTTTTGGGACCATGAGTGACATCCACCACTTCACAAGGAGCAGAACACACACCAAGAGGGCCAGGCATCCTGTCCAGTCCCCGGGCCACTGACCACATGGACAACTTGGTCCATGTCAGCCCTCTTCTCTCCCCTTCCCAGCTGACTCTTTTCCTAGATTGGGGTTAACTTTCCCCCTTCTCTCCTCCAGGACATGCAGATTTACCACTCAGATGGGCATCCTTAAAAGGAGACAGGGAAAAGGACCGGAGAGAAGTGAAGGACTCCTTTCCCTGGTGAAGGATCTTTTAGAAGAGGATGATTCCGAAGCCTCATGGATTTGATCCTGTTTTGCAGGGAAAAGCGTCAGCCCTCCTGAGACTTCCTTTTCCTTGATTCATTTGTTCTTTAATCTGACAAGTACTGAGTTCTTTGCTAGAGCTTCTTCTCCCTCCCTTTCACATCCAATCAGATGCCATGTTGCATTCCTTCAGCTGCCCCAAACATCTCCCCATTCGCCCCCTCCTCTCTACTATCACTGCCTCGACCCTAAACAAGTCCCTTGTTACTGCTGCCTGGGACGATCTTAATAACCTTCTGAACAGTTTCTTTGCTTCCTAATATTTTAAGATGTGAGAGTGAATCTTAGGCCCACGTACGATGTCGTCTAGACCTAAGTCTATGATGAGATTCTGAGTCCTCGGGGAGTGGAAGAGTTCAGGACTCCGGCATCCCCATTCCTACCGGCCACTAGATGGCACCCTCTCCCCTTCCTGACACCTTCCCTGGCCTCTCTAGCCCTCTAGAGCCAGGGCCCTGAGCGATCCATGGGGGATCTTTGCATGGAGAAGGGACCCTGGGGCTCTGCAGTTTGTTCCCCACAAATCTGCACTTCTGTCCCTCGAGCTGTGCCGGTTATTAACTGCCCGGGGACACCCAGATGAGGGGAGGAGATGTAGGTCCCGTCCGGCTCCCGCTGCTCTTAGCAAGTCACACACCTGGCACGAGGCTTCCTCGGCCAGAGGAACCAGCTGGCAACCAGGCGCTAGGTGGAAACAGGGCAGCCCAGCAAGCTGCCCCTCTCGCAGATGGCAGACCTCCCGACCCGCACACATGCACACTGCAGGAGGTAGTCTAGAGCAGTGGGTCTCGAGAGGGACCCAGAGATGAGAGACTGTGTCCTTGTGGTCTTGGGACATCAGGCCTGTGGGACTCCAGTCTTCTACCTGGGGCTTGAGAGCACCCGTGGCAGGGCTGGCGGTCCCTGTGGCCGCCCTGGAAAGTAGGCGGACCCCTGGTCCTAATGGAGTGAGTGAAGCCAGGGCCGGATCGGGGCCGGAGTGGAGGGCCTGCACTGTGGAGGAGGAGAGCCCAGGAGCGGACATCTCTGGGCTTTAATTCTGGCTTCCCAGGTGGTAGACGGTCAGTCACTTCTCATGGCCGTGGCTTGCATTCCCCGCGTGTGAACAGGGATAATCCCTTGCTAGTCCCTGTTCCCAGAGGGGTAAGTGCCCCCCATCCAGGGGGTGGAGGAAAACCACTGAGCTGCTCTGTCAAGAACCGAGGCATCCCTGGAGGAAACAGGAAGAATGTGGTTGTTTACCTGGGACGCCAGGCCAGGCCCAGTCTGCGGGAGGAGGAGAGAGCTTTGTTGCTGTGGAAAGGGGAGAAGATTTGGCTGCAGACCTGGGTGAAAGGGGAGGGACAAAGGAACAAACAAATAAAATCCAGGCCATCTGAAAGACGAGCTTCACAGCTCTGGAACCAAGATAACTGTCCCCACCCCCTGTGACCTCATCAGGTCCCTCAACCCACCCCAAGCCCCGTGAACAGGGCCCCCACAGCCACGGTCCTGGCATTGCCACACAGGTGGAGGTGAATGAGACACGGGGTAAATATGTAAACAGGATCCCCAAACCAGTCCTTCTGCCTGCCCGCGAGCCTGGATTGGTGCATGGGTTGAGGAGGCTCAGGGCAACCTACTCTGGGATCTGATAACCAGGGCTGAAGAAATCCGACAGGGAAGGAAAGGCAGCTGGAGTGGAGGAGCTGGCGAGTTCCATTGTGCCTGCAGAAGGAGGCTGTGAAGGCCCGAGCAAGTCTGCAAGGATGCCAGACCAAGTGGATGTGGCCAGAAGGCTGCACTGGCCAGGGGCTCTTGGCAGAATGAGGACATTTTATACTCGGGAGGAAAGGCAGAGAGAGAAGGGAAGACCAGGGGCCAAGCCTCTGGAAGCTCTGTCTGGTGGTATGGCCTCTCCCTGTTCCTTGTGCTGCCTGAGGACTGCTCTCTCCTTCCCTCTCCGAGAAAATGGTCCATGAAGGGCTCTGCTTGGTTGCTGGTCATGACAGTGGCCTCCCTCTAGGAAGGACCACAGCTGGGAGCTCTTGCTCTCATGGCGGAAATGGAGCCATCAAGTGACCAAAGCAGACAATGGGGCAGGTCATCCCAATCACTGAGCACAAACCCGAACCTTAGGTCTCTGTCGTCGCTAAGCTGCTCTGGGCCACTGATGTACAGAGCTGCTGATGCTGACCTTTATGCTCCCCAGTCTGTAAAAGTCAGGGCTTAATATTTCCTTATTAAAATAAACAAAAAGCTCTTATAAGGAGCTCTGAACTGGGAGTAAAATGCTTGAATACTAATAGTAACCTAACATGTATATTGCATTTTGAAATGCATAAAGCCTTTTCATATGCATTATTTCAAATAACCCCCAATAACCTTGTGAGGTAGAATTTCACTCTTATTCTATTTTTTACTATTATTCCATTTTGTTTCATTTTACTCTGTTTTTATTCAGAGAGGTTAGGTTAACTTTCCCAAGGACACACAGCTAGTAAGTGATTTTTAAAATTAAGAAAAAAACATTTAACCAACGAGTTTTCTGACTCCAAATTTTGGGGGGTTTTGTTTGTTTATTTGTTCTTCCCCTTGTATCATACACTGCCCTCATTGGTTATATGTCTACGTCTGGGCCATTTCGATATCACTGTCTTTTAAAGACAAATGGAATTAACTGTTACCTTCTCTTTCCTATTCTAGGAGCATGATAGACATTGCTTGGCTAAAATAGATATGTAAAGGTTCAAGTACGTTCTTATTCGTCATTATAAAAATGTTCTGAGATGCCGTGGAGCCTAGGGAAAGGGACTGTAATTTGGGCAAGTGCTAGGGACGGAAGACAGAGTTGGATTCTGGATTTCCAAAACCTCTACCTGGGATCCGTACACTGGTGGAAAACTCCTACTTCCTCCATCTCTCGGGCTTTGGTTGGTAGAGATGAGAGAGGGAGAGGCAGCAAGGCAATGGCCAAGAACACAGGTTTCAGACAAATTATTATGGAACTTTATTATGTCACCGGAGACATAGTATGGCTATCTACTGCACGAGGTGATTTTGAAAAATTTCAGGAAAATCACTCATCAGAGCTCCTGGCATATGATGCTCAAGAAATACTAGCTGTTATTATGAATATTCTAATCTGTTTGCTCTTGGTCAAGGAGACCTTCTCTGGTAGTAATTTCCCTCCCAAAGAACACCTGAAAATCCCCTCTATAACCTCTGGGTGGCGCTGCAGCTCTATCCAGACAGTCAAAGCCAGGTTTTCAGAGATGAAGGATTTCCAAGGAACGGGGACAGGTGGGCTCCGCAGATCCCCAGGAACTCCTCCTTCCCGTACCGCCTCCCCTGCCCGTGCCCCCAGCTCCTGGCTACCTTGTACCCCAGTCCGTACTGACCAGGAAATAGAGGGAGATGAGAGGGAGAAGCAGAGAAGGTTCCTCTGCCTGGAGGGGCAATGGTGGGATCCCTTCCCTTCCCCGGGCGCTGAAGTAGACGAGCTGATCTTAAAGTCAGAGGGATAAGCCACTCACCCCATGCCCCACACTTGGGCTCCCTCATCCAGCAAGCAGGGACGGCATGTTGCTGGACTTGGCCGGTGTGGGAGGCTCCAGCCAGAGTTCTTACCTTGCTGCCCAGATTGAGTCTGAGATAGCAGGAACTGGGATACAGACTGTAGGTGGCCAGGAACGAGCACGAGCTGCTGGAGCGGATGGAGGGAGGTCATGTCCTGCATGCGGGGGGGCGGGGGGGGCAACACACAAATATCACGGAATTTACATGCCAGGGATGCTGGCTCCCTCTACCTGTTGCCCATCTGTCCCATGGGGTCTCCAGACTCAGAGACTTTGTTGGCAGTGACCTTGCCTTATGCCTCTGCGTAGCTCAAGTGCCTGGCACGTAGTAGCTATTCCATTAATGCTGGCATTGTTACAACTCCTGTGCCCGGCCAAGCAATGCCTTGCAGCCCATCATAGTTAAACTTTGCTTTGTTATTTAATTTCTGTGTCTGTCAGTCTCCCCTCCCCACTAGACTGTAAATGTCAGAGACACAGGCTGAGGATTACCCATCTCTCGGAGCTTCGCCCTAGAAATGACAGGTAATCCCAATCGTCCAATTTTGTATGTTTTAATCTCATGTCACTTGACCATGCTGAAAGTCCTATCTTGGCCATTTCCTGGGCCTGAACCTCTCCTGGAGGAAGGAACAAGTTATCAGGCTCTTAGTACAACCAATTTGACTAGACAGAAAGTCCATGATCCCCGAGTTTCTCCCACCAGCTCCCACAGTGGAGATACCAATCCCAATGCCTGGGGCATCCAGACCCCCAGGGCTCAGTGCACAAAGATGAAGAGAGGAACGGATGCTCATTTTAATCTTAAATCTTTCTAGAAAAGGGGTGGTATTTCTTCCCCAGATAATCCAGAGCAAGAGGGGGGCTGGCCACGGGGACATCCGCCCTCTCAGACATTTGTCGTTACTGTTTTAGGGTGCCTCCTTCTTCCCCCAACAGCACTCTGTTCTGGTTTGGCTTTGTTGCAAAAGCTTGAGGGAGGCGAGTGGGCTCACTGGAGACAGAACCACTCTATGTCTGTAGCAGTGGCTGTCATCACAGGGCTCCCCCGAAGTGGCCAGCAGACACCAGCCCCATCGCTGCTAGGTCCATTGTTTTGGCAGGATCAGCTCTCTTTTGTCCCAGGGAGGTAGAGGTAGCCAGGCTTCCCCTTTAAGAGCGCTATCCTGTCTTCTCATCCCCACCCCAGGCCTTCATCCCTTCTTCATATTTCCTGTAGGGCGGTTTTGCAGACCAATCTAGATTCACTGAGAGCCAGGTCTAGAGGTGAGACATGTTGCAAAAGGCTTCAGTTAAACTCACTGGCCCGCTGAGACTATCTGGGCTCCCTGACATGGGCTGGCATTTACCCCGGACATTTGGTTTCCAGGCATCATCGTGGCTCCTTGACTGAGGTGGCATGGCCGATGCGAGAGGGTCTGCTGCAGGGAGTCGCCGAGGTCCTCAGTTTTAATCTGTAAGTGGAGGCAGGAGGAGAGCATCAGTTCTGGGCCTCTGCCCCCCGACCCCCGGCAGGTAGAAAGGGAGGCTTGGAGAAGGTCAAGGTGATGAGTGATGAGCCCAGAGAGTGCAAAGCTAGCTGGGTGCCTACGGGGTTGCAGCTTGATAGTCCTGCCTGCCTGTGCCCTTCAACGGCTAAGAGAGAGGCGAGTGGCACTCTGGAGGAGCAGAGCAGTCTGTAAGCAGGTGGGGAGGGGTTCACAGATCGATCCGCCCCCAGTACCGTTCGGCGGGCTGTGCCGGTGCAGAGGGCAGCTTACCCTCTCCCTCCATGAGATGAGAAAAAAAATAAGTATATTGCAATGACTATAAACATTTCTATTGAGTTCTGAGTTGTTCTTTTTTTCCCCCCTTGGCGGAGATGTTAGAATTTCCTTTGTGAAATGACGCTGATCCTAAATGGGATTTGATTTGATTTTTGTTTATTTTTTATTATTTTTCTTTCGTCATCTCTAGACTAGACCCAATGTGGGGCTCAAACTCACAACCCTGAGATCAGGAGTCATATGTGCCTCTGACTGAGCCAGCCGGGCACCCCCTAAACAGTATTTTAAAAATTCCCCACCTCATGGAGTGCGCAGGGGCTCAGTCAGTTGAGCGTCTGACACTTGGTTTCCCTTCACGTCATGGTCTCATGTGTGGTGGGATCAAGTGTCCGTGTCAGGCTCCACACTCAGTGTGGAAACTGCTTGAGATTGTCTCTCTCCCTCTCCTCTGCTCCTCCCCCTGCTTGCACTCTCTCTCTCTCTTTCAAATAAATAAATCTTTAAAAACAAGAATAAAAATAAATAAAAATGTCCCACTTTATTAAAAAAATTGGCGACCCTTTATCAATCTTCCCCATACTGTGTTTTGTTTTTCTGGTCCACAAAATCCCAAAGTCTGGGAGCCAGTTTCCCCTCTATCCCCTTTCCCTTGTTTTCCACAGTTACCCATCTTCTGTGTGCTCAGCTGCTTCTGCCGCCCGCCCTCCTCACCCATGTGGCTTTGGTGACAGTCTTTGCCTGTCTCCCTACAGGTGGGGACATGTCTCCCTCACAGTCATTCACTACTGCAGTTGCAACCTGAAGGGCCTGCAATGGCTTCTAAACCCTCTCTAGCCTCCCTCCACCACCAAGCACCCACCTGTGGGTTTCCCAGGTGTCCAAGGGCAGGGCAGGACACACCATTTGTGCCCACCCCTCCTCCCACCCAGAAAACAACTACCCTCTGGCAGCTTTTCGGGAAGTCCACTGGGGATGGGGGGAGCCAAGTGACTGAATTCATATCATATGACAAAGACCATAGGATCTAGACCATATCTTTTAAAATACACTGGGGAGACCCTCTAATGGAAATTCTTGGCCACAGATGTCCTGCTTAAACTACTTTCTTGGTCTACACTGGGAATGTCACTGACATCCTAGAATCTCTCCCGTCTTAGTTTAACCCAAGTTAAAGGTTCAGGTGAAGCTACATTTGCTTCATCACTGCAGAGAAATGGTCTTTGGATCACAAAAGGAAGATTTCCCTTTGGCTGGAGAGCTAGGAAGATCCTACTGAGTGACGTCAGAGACCAAGAAAAGAGCTAGTGTCCTAAACGCGGTGCGTTGCACACAGTGGGAACTTATGCGAGTTAATCGAATAAAAGACACAAAGAGAACCCATCTCTCTATAGTATCCAGCAGGATACAGTCAGGAGAATATGGAGCAGGGAGCTAGACCCTGCTTCCAAGTCCTAACCTGGAGTTTAGCTCACTAGGTAACCTCCAACCATCTTTTAGCCTGTAGGAGACTCACTTTCTCCCATCTGTTATGACTCTAGATGATCTTTCTCTCTTCCAGTCCTAAAACGGAATTACAAGTTCTAGTTCCCCGGGGCATTGGTGCAGACTTGTCTGGCCCAGGTTGCTGTGACGTTCTTAGGTAAAGTGCACCTACACAGCACCAACAAGCCAGGGTCACACCAAATTTGGTAAGAGGGGGCTTCTTTCAGGGACCATCTGTCCAAATCCCTCCTCTCTTCTCTCACCTAAAGAGACCTGTTCTGGAGCCTTGGAAGCAGAGAGGAGGAAGGGAAAGCAACCGGAAGTAGCACAGTGAGGGGCAGAGAGTTGAGACTTTCTGAAAAACTCTGAAGGCATGGCTATGCAGGAGGGATTTCCAAGACAGCTCCCATCCCTACCCCCAGTGCCCCTCAGCAATTCCCACCCACGCTTGGCATCTCCATCTAAGAAGCTCTGGTGTCCTAGTTCTTCCCCTAGAAATTAGAGTTTTCACATCCTAGATTCCAGGGAAACATTTGTTAGCAGGTTTAAAAAAGCTAGGAATAGATGATAAGACCACTTATTTAAAACCACCACCAACCACCACCGCCACCCTTAAGATTGGCTCGAAGAGATTTTACTGAAGCAAAGCCTTTGGGGGCCGGCCTCCCCTCCCTGCATCTCCCTTCTAGAGCCCTCTCCCACCCCCCCAGCACATCCCTCATCTCAGCGGGGGGTGGGGGGGTGGAGGAGGGGTGAGGATAGGTGAGGCGGGATGGAGGAAGGGGGACCGAGGGAGAACACTGAACATTAGAGCCAAAGCCACACCCGTGGAACCACCTGGGGCAGCTTGGCATGGTGCCAGCTCCGAGGCAAGTGGCAGGGTTCCTTTATAGACTCGTTATGTGCAACGGAGATAAGAAGGTGCAGCTATGACAGAGCTCGAAAACATGTGCTTTGCCTCCAACCTGTGTGCTATCTGTTAGAATCAGTGCCAGGTCTTCCTGCAACACTTAATTTCAGAAACCAGCGCCATCATAAAAGAAAACACACCCTTTCATCTGCTTCCTGGATCACTTGCCCTCCAAACTCTTTTAGGGGCACGGCCGACCTCCCAGTTCTGAAAATGAAGCTGCTGATAGCAGAAATTCCCTTTGGGTGTTCATCTGGGGCGTTCTGACAATCCCCCCCCCACCCCAACGCCCCAACTCGTATGTCATTCTCCTGACTTTCTGTTTCACCAACATTTTTCTTCTTTCATTTTTCATACTTCATTAGCCTTTGGGTGTGAGCTGCTGACAGTAACCCCCAAAGAGAAGAGTCCTACGCAAACCAAATCCAGAGACACTAAAGGAGATTTCCTTTTTCGAGGGCAAGTTCTAAAACCTCTGTTCTGGTAGGTGGCTGTCGGAAGGGGAGGAAGGGAGGAAAGGCGCATTCAGGGCTCTTCTAGCCTTCAGCACACTCTGACAATTCTCTAAGAGTCCACAGGCTGAGAAACTCCGAAATTAAGGAACAAAAGCCCTTCCCAAATCAAAAAATCCCTTTCACTGCTGTTGAATGGAAAAGATTGGAGCCTTTCCAGGCAACTGGGTGTTGGCTGTGGATCTGGATGGTAAGATAGAGAGGCTTCTGTTGGTATCCCATTGACTTCTAATGTGAGAACCTGAGGCAAATTGGGTGAAAATCCAATTTCCCCCTTACTTGTGAAAACCCAACCAAACCCACAGCCTGCCTGGAATCGGGAAGACTGTCTCCAGGGTCCCTTTGGTGGTTCTTCTCACGTCAATGAAATCTCTCTCCAGGCCCTGCTCAGAACGGGCTAATCCCATGGTGGGACATGGGCCGCCACAGAGGACCTCATCCTGTCCTGGCCACTGACCATCCTGTCCACGTATTAGATGAGGTTTGTTAGCTCAGGATTTTCTCCGCCCACTGCGCGGTGCACAAGTATTACCCTGAGTCTTGGGCCGTTGACCAGGGAGGTAAAAAGTCGTCACGTGTGATTAGCTTTGAATTCCCTGACATCACCTGCTTGAGAAAGCAGTAGCCTCCTTCTGGGAGGAGAGAGCACCTCTAAGGAGCTGGAAGCCTTCAGACATTCCTACTTGGTTTCTCCTCCCAGCTGGGCAGGGGTGTAGGGACGAGTATTTACCTTCCCATCTCATGGAGGCCCAGAGAGCTTCAGAGATGGGTATAAAGTTACATAACAAGACACTGGCAAAAGGCCCTTAAGGGAATGATCCTCTGACTCTCTCCTGGTGCTCTTTCTACAAAACAGTGCGGCAGACATCCCAGGGAGAGGAGACAGCACAGACTGTGGGTGATGGCAAGGGTAGTGTTCTGGCCCAGACAACCCCGCGCCTCCTTATGAACCATCTGTTTTGGGGTCATGTGATGGGGCAAGGGGGTGCTGGGGTACCCCTCCCTAGCCCCTCCCATGACAGTTTCACATGGTTCTCTTTGGGGGAAACAGCCCAACGCTAATGAACAGATCACTGGCGATGCAGACGATCAAAGCTGTTGTCTTGGTTGCATAACTCGTTTGTGGAAAGTGTTTCATAAACATTTCACAAGAAGGAGAATTTCAAAGCGTGAACATCTCCCAACCTGCCTTCAATTACAGGCAAGACTTTTTTTTTTTTCTTTCTCCCCCCACTTCTACACTTCTCCCGAGCAGTAAGGAAGAGTTTCTGTTTTGTAACTGATGTATAAAGGGTTGGCAGCGCACACGTTGCTCATGAAAATATCCTAAGAATATATTTCAAGTGGTGGAAGGGGGCAGGCAGGTAACTCATCTCTGTGAACAAGGCTTAGATTCCCCCAGGAGATGTTGGCTGTATCTTGGCTTGGGAGACTCTCCTCTTTCCAAGACTCCTGCGTCTTCAGAGGCCTCTGGGAAGTGCCTAGGGAGATGGCCTCGCCCATTCCCTGGTCTCTAGTCAGACCTACAACAGACCGGCCTAGATGCACCTTTGCCCATGGACACTGGGATCTCCTTCCTGACCGCATCAAACTTCTAGACAAAGGCGGAGAAGAGACGGGGACCCTTGAATAAACTAATAGCTTCTTAGGAAGCCCGGGCCACTTGGAGTTGCCACCTCCTGGAAAGAAACTTTTCAAAGACACATCCTTGTTTTCCTGGCTTGCGCCTACTCTAGAAATGCAACCAGCTTATCAGTCATGTTAGTTAATGTTTTGGCTTCAGT